ACTGGAAAATTAAAATGTACCATTCACAGGAGGAGCTATGAGAGCCAACCTTGTCCCAGCAACAAGAGAGAGAAGGGGGGTTCTTGCTCCTTGGATGAGCAAGTGGATGCTCCATTCTACAGAGAAGCCCAACCCCCTCTGCCCTGCCTTCCCAAGGGAAGCCCTTGAAGAAGTCCTCCATGCCTGGGGTGAGCATCCGGCAGCTGGTGGAGTAGATCCCAGACGGATACAGCCTGCTGGACTTTCAGCAGACGCCCGTCACTTTGGCTCTCCAAGAGGGTGACGCCTGGGAGGGGAGCTGCTGGGAGGATCCAAGACCCCTGATCTCACCTCCCAGCATGCACAGGGGAGGTGGGCTTGGGCACCCACCTTGCTGGGCTGGCCTCCCAGCCTAGGTCTATCACCTGGCCAAACAGTGTCTCCTAGAACACTCTGTGCTTCTGGGGTACCTGTCTGCCTGGATCCCCAGAAGGGGTCAGGGGCCTGGGGAGCAGAGTGGGTACAGGGAGTGAAGAAGTACTATGTTATACTGATACAAAAAATATTTGGGGGAAGACCAGGATGGGGAAATACTAAACTGGGGACAGGGGAGAGGTCATGGTGCTTACTAGCCCCTCTCTCCGCTCTCCCTGCCTCAAGGCCGCAGCTGCAGAGAGGTACTATTGAAACTAAGTTAATATCGACCCTTCCCAACTCTTGCCTTCAGCAAGCCAAGCCCCCAGTGGCTCACAGGCTGGGCTATAAAGGCCATTCTAGAAGGCCACATGAGCCAAGTGGCCAGGAAAGTGGTGGGATAAAGGCTGTGGGGGAAGAGGTGGGAATTGGTGTTCTTTCCCCAACACATGTCCCTGTGATGAATTTTAGTCACAACATTCTGATAAAAGAAAAAGAATGTTAACTCTACTTTCCTAAATCTGATTTCAAGTCTATACTCAACAAAATTGTGAGTTTAGTGTCTCATGATTGGGATGGGCCCTTGGGTCTTCAATCAATGCTGTTGGCTTCTGAAATGCTCCTGGCTCCTGCTCCTGGCCTAAGTGGCTCCTTGAGGGTGAGTGGCTGCAAGGCTTCCAGGCCAAGCATGGGGCTTGGAGTCTTTTCTGGGGCTGGAACCCTGTGTCTCAGGACCAGCTCCTTTGGGCACCAAACAGCCATTTCTATCCGAGGTTGTCATCTCCTGCATAGTGAGTAGACATGGGGCCCACAAAATCTCATCCCCTTCCCAGCCCAGTACCATTCTTGGAACAGGCAGTTGAAATACCTAAAGCAGTGAGGATACACATAAATTAAAATCTAATACAGCCTACTGTCACCCCCTCCCCCAATCTGTCACTCTCCCAGCCTGCCTCTTCTTCCTGCCGCAGGGAAAAATGCCATCTTTCGGGCTGTGGTCTGTGGGGAGCCCAGACCCGAGGTGCATTGGGAGCGCACCAAAGGTGACCTCAGTGACACCAGCAAGTACCAAATCTCTTCTTCCCCTGGCAGCAAGGAGCTTGTGCTGCAGGTAAGAACCCTGGCTCCTCCCCCTGACCAGGGACTATTCATCTTGTCACGTCCCTTTGAAGTTCTCCTTGGCAGCCTCCAATTCCCAGAGGAGCAAGAAAGATATTCTTAGCTGAGGTGGAGTCCACTCAACTCCATCCTGTGGCTCAAGGTCACCTGAACCAGGACTGGATCTGGCAGGCTTACAGGTGCCCCTGTTGATACCCTGAGAGGCAGTATAGACTGGAACTTAAGAGCACAAACTCTGGAGTCAGACTGCTTGGGTTACAATCCCAGCTTTGACACCCACTAATTGTGTGGCCTTGGCAAGTTACTTACCTCTGGGATTAGTACGTCTATTTCCTTATTTGTAAAGTACAGCACAAATAATTAAAAGGAAGACAAATAGTTGCAGTCAAGTCAACTCTAACTCATGGTGACCCCATGTGTATCAGAGTAGAACTGTGCTCCATAGGGTTTTCAGTGGCTGATTTTTCAGAAATACATCACCAGGCCTTCCTTCCAAGGCACCTCTGGTGGACTCAAACCATAAACCTTTTGGTTAGCAACTGAGTGCGTTAAGTGTTTGCACCACCCAGGGACTCCGGGGCGATAGTAATACCTACTTTATGGGGTTGTTATGAAGATTAATGGTTTATATAACGTGTCTAGCCAGAGCCTGGCCTATACAGAGCACTTAGTCAATGTTGGTAAATATTAGTAACACTGTAGCTACTGATCATTAATACCTACTACTTGCCAGGCCAGGCTAAACATTTGACATTTTGACATCATTTATATGATTTAATCCTGACCACTCACTACCTTTTTTTTTAAAATTTTATTTTGTTGTTGTTGTTGAAAATGTACATGGCAACACATACACCAATTCAACCATTTCTACATGTACAATTCAGCACCACTGATTCCATTCTTCAAATTGTGCAACCATTCTCACCCTCCTTTTCGTTCCTCCCCCTTTAGCATAAACTCATCCACTCACTACTTTTTGAGGTATGATTATCCCAATATTACAGGCGAAGAAATTAAGGTTCAAAGAGGTTAAGTAACTTGCCCAAGGTCCCACAGCCAGTAATACATGACAGAGATGGTATTCAGTGCCAGATCCATCTGACTCAAAAATCCAGCTCATTCTACCACACCACATTGCCACTGATGGCAAAGCGTTGGTACGTCCAGTCTCTGTCCTGGTCCTGTTTTTTGTTTCGAGGTCTGTCTCTCCAGATGAAGACTAGCTCCATGACGACAAGGACCGTGTCTTGATCCTCTTTACACCCCAAGCACAGTCACATCTAGTAAATGGAGGGTGGGGAGATGCTAGCCCTGTCCCCTGCCCTTGTCCTCTCTGCAGATCAACAAGCTGACAGGTGAGGACACAGACCTGTACCACTGCCCAGCCATGAACATGTACGGAGAGGCTGTGTGCTCCGCGAGGCTCGCCGTCGTTGAAGGTGCCTGGCTAATCCGTGCACAGGGGTCAGCCCTGGCTTCCTTCCCAGAGAGACTCAGGAACCAGACGCCACACAGCCAGTGCGAAGAGGAGAGGGAACCCTTAGTTCCACCTACCTGCATACCAACCCTGCGTGTGATTTTATAAGCGCACACTTTGCAAACGCCCGGTTGCAGATGTTTTGAATTATACTCTCTTGGTTCAGTGGAATGAGGTCAGGACCTGGAAGGTGGTTTCTAGTCCTGGATCTTCTGCTAACTCATTCAGAGGGTTTCGTTTTCCTCTCTGGACCTCAGTTTCTCCGCTGTCAGAGGATGTTTTGTATGGGCCTGTGTCAGAGGTGGCAAACAGGTAATATAAAGGCCAAATCCTTCTCTCAGACGTGTTTGGTTTACACAGTGTTTCAATTTTTTTGAATTAATTGTCAACATGTAATTATTGGAAGATAGATGTCTCTTGAAAAAGCAGATCTAGTCTCTCGATTGGTTATGCTTTTGCCTACAAGTAACAGAAAACTCCATGAACAGTAGCAAGAAATAAAGACATTTAATTACTTCACATAAAAAGAGTCCAGGGCTCATAACACAGCTCACTGCTGTCACCAAAGAGCCAAACTCTCGCTGTCTCACTGCTCTGCCATCCTGAGTGACTGGTTCATCACCTCATGGTCAAAAGATGGCTGCTGCAGATCCAAACTGAACCCCCATTTAAGACAAGAAGAAGGGGAAAGTGTAGGCTCCAGTTACATCCACCCATTTTAATGAGAAAGTAAAAGCTTTCTCAGGAATGCCTCAGAGACTTCTGCTTACATCTCATTGGTCAGAACTGTGTCACATGATCACTTTTGGTTGCAAGGGAAGCTGGGAAGGCAAGTATTCAGCTTTTCCAGCCTCTCTAGTGGACGCAGGCAAAGAAGAAGGGGATTAGGGATGGCTGCAGGATCAGCAGTGTCTAACACATTTGACAGTGCTGGGCCTACACCTCAAAATGGCAACTCTCAGGTGGAGAGAAAGGGCAACTGCTCCCTTTAGATGTTCTTGTGGTCACCAGTGGCCACATCCTTCATTTATGCCACCTCCCTTGCCCCTGTAGACATGTGAGTGTGCCTCCCTTGCATGAGATGATTATCAGGTGAGTTCCACCTTGTCCTGCTAAGGCTCTGGGGTATCAAAGCTCACGGACAACCCATCGTCCTGCTCCATCCCTCCTGGTGGGATGTTGCTGGCCTCAGAGGAGAATGGGGATGCCAGAGCCCTGGTGCGCAGTCAGTCTCTCAGGAAGACCATCAATGTATCTTGCCTCTCTCCCTGCCTATCCACATCAACTCCCTCCTCTCCTCCCCAGATGGTCCAGTTGGCTTTTGGAAGAGTCTGAAGAGACAGAAGGAACCCCAAGAGGGTAGGTGGATTTGTCAGAAATCTCCTTGTCCAACCCCGGACACCTTGTGGGTCACCACCAGTCCACAGGAGGGCTCCTTTCCAAAGCTCTGTTGCCAGCCTAGGACCACAGGTCCTCCTTCCATCACCTCCCTACCCCCCTTTCTACAGAAGAGCCCTGCATTAAGCCCTGGTCATCTCATCCTGGGACTAGGGCCTCATTCCTGATCCTTTTCTAGACCTCAGAAAGGAGCTGATAGACTTCCGGAAGATGCTACAAAAGAGGTGGGTCTAGGTCTGTCCCCCGTGGTGTCACTAAGGGGGTGTGCAGGGTGCGGACTGCACCAGGTGACACTGTCAGAGGTGGGTGACACCAAAATGACTGTCTATCAAAACATCTCTGTAGTTAGTTATCACAACAAAAACATTTTTTGTAAGCCCGGTTTACATGTCTCAACATACCTCTGAGGCTAAAACTCTATGCTAATCTACTTTTTGAACCTTCTAATGTGCTCTGGTCAGAGCTGTCATTATTACCCAATGACAATGACACTTTGAATCACTTGATTTCGTCTGCACGTGCTACAAGCCCGGGCTTCAAACACATGCTGTTTTTGTTGCTGCCACTGTTTTTACAGTTGCTGATTTTGTCAAATTTTGCAGTGTTTTAGCGACAACATTGTGGTAATCAGTATTTGTGAACCTCTATCAACTTTTTTGAGAAGAAGTAGTGACTAAAGGAAAAGAAGGAGTGATGTATGGGAATTACGGTTTACAAGCAACATTAGTACAAAAAATATTACTAAGGATTTTGTACGGTCTGGTATGGGAGGAGGTCCATGGGGGTGGGATGACACCAACCCTAGTGACACCATTGTCCGTCCCCTGCCACTTCCATAAGCAAGCCGTGCTCAGCCCTGACCCTCCGACACGTTCAGGGAAGTCAGACTCCTGGTAGCAGGTGGTTAAGATGGAAAGGGCACTGGTCTGGGAATTCTGGATCCAGCTCTGCCCCTTCATCTCAGCTCTATATCATCTCTCCAGAGTCCCTGGGTGGTACAAATGGTTAATGTGCTCAGCGGCTAACCAAAAGGTCAGAGGTTCAAATCCACCCAGAGGTGCCTCAGAAGAAAGGCCTGGCAATCTACTTCCAAAAAATCAACCATTGAAAACCCTATGGAATACAGTGTTACTCTGACAAACATGACATCCCCACAAGTCAAAGTCAATTCCAGGCAACTGGTTTTTAATCACCTCTCCTTTCTGGGCCATGATTTACTCAAAAATGGTGTGTTCCACTAGAGCTGTGATTTTTTTAAAAAAAATTTTTTAAGCAACGGAACACTTCTTCCTCGCAAAGACATCCTACTCTAAAATCTACCATGCAAGCTATTAGTAGCAGAGTTTCACCAGTGAAAGCTGGGGCTGTGGGCTCAGGCCCGCACCTGCCCATCTCTGGGTCCTTCCAGTCCCTGAGCAGTGGGTAGTCACCGTTTTCCAGTCCCTGTGTCCGTCTGCTCTTCGCAGGAAGGCACAGCTAGAGCAGCTCCCAGGCCCCCTGGGATGCCAGGACCAGGTGGCCAGCACCTGGGACCCCCTGACCTCTGGACCTGCCTGCCCTGCTCCCCAGGACCCCCCTCCCGGCCCCAGAGAAAAAGACTTCGAGCAGGTGTGGCAGCTGCTGATGACTGCGGACCGGAAGGACTACGAGAGGATCTGCATGAAGTACGGCATCGTGGACTGCCGGGGCATGCTGCGCAAGCTGGGGGAGATGTGGGAGGAGCGCGAGGAAAAGATGGCGCAGGTCTCCTCCCCTGCCCTCTCTGCATGCGCACCCGTGCGCCGGTGCGCTCTGGGGCCGCAGACCGGGCGTTGGGCTTGGAGGCAGGACTTGGGAAACCAAGCATGGTGGAGGAGCGGGCATTCATCTAGCGGCAGGTTCCGGCTCCACAAATGTGGCTTCTGGCTGAGAAGCTAGGCTTCCAAGTCAGGCGCGCTGACTTTGAAACCTGCCTTTGCTGGTTACTAAACGCTGGGGCTTTGGAAAAGTTAGGGCCTCTGTGCCTCGGTTTTCTCATTTGTGAAATGAGGATTATAGTTGTACCTACCCCATAGGGTTGCTGAGAGGATGAATGAGTACATAAGACACTTAGCCTAAACCAAAAAAAAAAAAAAAAAAAAAAAACACCAAAAAACCCAAATCCGTTGCGGTTGAATCGATTCCGACTCATAGCGACCCTATAGGACAGGGTAGAACTGCCCCATAGGGTTTCCAAGGAGCACCTGGTGGATTCGAACTGCCGACCTTTTGGTTAGCAACCGAACTTTTAACCACTACACCACCAGGATTTCCTCCAATAAGCCTCGTGGGGCTTAATGTCATCATCATCATCATCATCATCATCATCATCGTCATCATCACCATCATCACAAAAGATCAGTGTTTTTGTTGGGTGCCTTAGAGTTGACTCCCACTCATAGCGACCCCATGTGACAGAGTAGAACTGCCCTATAGGGTTTTCTTGGCTGTCATCTTTAAGGAAGCAGATTGCCAGGTCTTCGTCCCTCTGAGCGGTGGGATGGGTTCACACGCCAACCTTTTGGTTAGCAGCTGAGTGCTTAACCTTTGTGCCAGCAGGGCCCTTCAGACATGAGTACCTGTCTTACTTGTAAAGCCTTCCAGCGAAGGGAATTTCAGTCTCTGTTAGCACTCTCATTCCAGTGTCTTATGAACTGTATAGGCGTTTCTTCCCTGAGCTTAACCTAACTATAAACCAAAACCAAACTGGTTGCCATCGAGTTGACTCCGTCTCACGGCCACCCCATGTGTGTCAGAGTAGAACTGTGCTCCATATGGTTTTCTATGGCTCATTTTTTTGGAACTAGATTGCCAGGCCTTTCTTTCAAAGTGCCTCTTGGTGAACGCGAACCTCCAACCTTTCTGTTATTAGCCCAGTGCGTTACCCATTTGCACCATTTGGGGACTCTAACCCAACGTAATCAGCTTAATGATAGCTGACATTAAGCCCCACTAAGCTAAGTGCTTTATGTACATTTTTCCCCCCCTGGGAATGGAAAACAGCTAGTTTTCATTATCCTGAAATAGTATTTTATTAACTTGAAGGCGCCACCGAACCTCCTACCCAGTGCCTCAACTTTCTTCCAAGCTGTCTGATCTGCTTTAACATAGGTCCCAGTGCAGAGCTTTGCACACAGTAGGAGCTCAACAAATGTGTATTGGATGAAAGAACAGATAAATAGAAAAACCCTACCATGTTCTCGTAGCACCTGGATACTTGGGTTCCTTTCTTGGATGCCTTCTTGACCTGATCTCTGATCTTGGAGAATTCCCTTCCTCGTGGGGCTTAAGTCTCCTCACTTGTAAAATGAACTCATCAATGCTCAACTGGGATATCGTGGGGCTGGGGTGGCACCAGGGACCATGAGCGCCTGGAATTCCTGCAGAGAGATTTGAGAGAGCCCCAGTGGGCTTGTCTTTCCTTTAGTACATCAACGCCATCTCCAACTTGAGACACATCAGGGTCACCAAGGACTGGACCGCAGCGTCTCATCTGGAGCTGGATCTCAAGGATTCTAAAAGCAAGATTTACTTGTATAAGGTGAGGCTGGAGAAGCCACGGCAGGGGGGTCCTGGAAGGAATGCTGTAGGACCCAGGAGGAGGATCTCTAGGTCAATGAGTCCCCTGTGGGAACAACCCAAGTACACAGGTGGTGAGCCCACCATTCCGTGGGGTTCATGGCTGGAGTCAGGTCAGACCTGGTGCAACATTCCAGGGAGACCCCTTACCTCTCATTGAGCACCCAGGCTCCCCAGCCAGGCCTGCAATTGTGTAAGCTGTGTTTAGCCAGGGTATGGGAGGGAAGAAGAGGTTCTGATAAGTTCACCCCTTATACCAGAGCTCTCTCCAGAGACTTGACACATCCCTACACGGGCCACCGGAGTAACTACCTGTCACCAGGTGGGGGCGGGGCAGGTGTGATGAGGGGGCAGCAAAGCATGACACTAGTTCTGTAGTCAAACTCATCGTGACTCCACCACTTACTAGCTCTGTGACCTTGGACAAGATAATTAGCTTCTCTCATTTGTGTAATGAGGATAATACAGGACCGGTCGCATGACATGTTGAGATGAGAGTTAGGTAAAGCAGGATTTGCTCTCCCCTTGCCTCTCTGACCTCCTCCTGCTCTGTCCCTTTGGTCTGGCTATTCCCTCTGCCTGGCACGTTCTTGCCCGATAACCATGTGGCTCATCCCCTCACCCTCAGCTCAGTGAGGCTTCCCCTGACCTCCCTGTTCATAGTACCTCGTTCCCCCAGCCCTACCCCAGCACTCCTGAACCCTCCTTACCCATCTCTTCCTTTACTTTTTCCCTTAGTTCTATCACTTTCTAACATACATTATATTGTTTACTTTTTAATGATATTTATTATTTGTGTGTCCTCCCTGCCACCCCACCCCCCCGACAGGGTTTGAGCTCCCTGAGGGCAGAAATCTTTCGTTTTATTTACTGATGAGTCCCAAGTACCTAGGACAGTGCCTGGCCCACAGTGGGCGCCTGACGGAAGTTAGTTATGGTCACTGTACAGCAAGTAGCAAATCTAGCGAGGGCTTAGCTAAAGTGGGTGTGTACAGACTGCGGGTGTGTAAAGCCTTAGTGGGGTCTGATAGTACTCTCGGAGAGTCCTCCTTGGGGAATGAATGAGCCAGGGCCCCTGGGCTGTGGGGTTGCCTCCTGTCTTCCTGCTGACCTGGCAGGGAGCAGCTTGGCTAGTGGCCTATTTACAGCCTGAGCTTCTGTCTCAACAGTATCCGGTGGCTCTTTGTATAAGAGACTTACAGATTATTTACTCCATGGAACCAAATACAACCAAACCCATTGCTGTGGAATCGATTCCGACTCATAGTGATCCTCTAGGACAGAGTAGAACTGCCCCATAAGGTCTCCAAGGAGTGGCTGGTGGATTCGAACTGCCGACCTTTCGGTTAGCAGTCATAGCTCTTGACCACTGTGCCACCAGGGCTCCACTCCATGGAAAAAAAGAAAAAAAAAACCCACTGCCATCGAGTTGTTTTCTGACTCATAGCGACCCTGTAAGACAGGGTAGACCTTAGAACTGCCCCATAGGGTTTCCAAGGAGCAGCTGGTGGGTTCTAACTGCCAACCTTGATTTATTTCTATTTTATTGTACTTCAGGTGAAGGCTTACAGAACAAATAGTAGTACACATGTTATTTTATGACATTGGTTAACAACCCCACAACATAT